TAGCTGCCACACCCCAGGATGGATAAGGGGCATAAACTAACTTTCCAGCCCTCCCTCTCTGGTTTGGTCAGAGCTTCCTCAATTTTCTAACTAGAAAAATGGCAGATAGTAATACCTGCTCCTTAGGGAAGCCCTGGAGATTAATTGGCCAGTGCTGCAAGAGGGTTTCCGAGATAAAGTGTTCTATATAAATGTTTAAGTATTATTATTACATTGCTACTTCAAAGGGAAGTTCTAACTTTGAAATGTGATTATACACTTTCCCCAAAAACCACTTCATAACCACATATATAGGTTTATTTTTCCCTCTAACAATCTAACTCATGGTTATGAAACTTTATTGCAAATGATGGAGGGTTCTGGCTTTTATTAGTTTTAAACTGCTGGTTTCTAGGGTATTTATGTAAATGAGGGAAGGATACCAAAACAGTAAATAATAAGCATGTCCCTGCTGTTTAGAAATCTGTTGGTAAAAACAACTTTTGTTTGTTATAAAAAGACCCTAATGGTAGCATAGGATAATATAGCTTTGGCATTTATCAGCAAACAGTTGTTTGGGTTTTTTTAAAATGTTTTTCCCCAAGTGTTTCTTTGCCATTTGGTTCTGCTTCCACAATTTTCATACATGTCTGTGTATGTATATATGCATATATATGAGTATATTTTTCAGCCAGAAAGAGAAGTAAAACGCTACATTTTAAGAATTCTTTTATTTAACTAACTGTTATAAAGTAGGCCAGATGGCTAATGATAGCTCCCAGAAACACAAGGCCTCACCTAAGTTTATTGTAGTTGCCACATAATGAATATTATGATGAAATCATGTTCCCATAAACTTGACCAAAAAACAGCAGCCCTTCCATTGATCTCAAAATAAACACATTCAAGTTGCAATTCTGGTTCATTGAAAGATCCACGGGCTTAGCTTCCCAGCAGAGGACCCAAGAAAGATACCGCATATACTCAAGTATAAGCCAACCCGAATATCAGCCGAGGCACTTAATTTTTTTTTATGTTGGTTGAAATAAGTTTATTAGGAAGTTGAGAGGCAATTTCACAACTTTAACATGCCAAGAGCATGATGCCAAATTCAGACCATTTGGATGTCAAGTTTCTGAAAATGTCCAGATGCCAAATTCGGACCATTTGGATGTCAAGTTTCTGAAAATGTCCAGAAGCGTCATCTGATGTTTCATTTCTTCCGTTGGCCTCTGGGGCTACGTGTGAAAGTACAGCGACGCTGGCATTTGTTGAGCAACTAAAGATGGAAGACGACTCCGTTGACAAAGGAGACTTCGGGAGAGATGTGCCTCTCAGCAGCCCAGGGAGAGAAGACTGTGCCTCAGGAACGTCAGCAGATCAGTAGAGAGCGTATGGCCAGTACCTTCTGTATCCGAAGGCCCCACAGCCATTGTAGCCATAGCCAAAGCCATAACCCACGGGGGAGTAGGTGCTGCCATAGCCACAGCCGACGCTGTACCCCAGCGGGTAGCCATAGCT